TTTTGAAATATTAAACAAGTGAGGATGTGAAATGAAAAAAATGAGAACTTGGTTTTATAAAGTACAAAAAATTGAATGAATTTACTGAAATGGGAGAACCCAGAAAACATACTTCCTCCGTCCCAACTTATGTGACTCCTATTTTTTATAGCCAATCCTCTTTCTATATTTGGAAACAATTCAACTTTAGATTTTCCGTTTTACACTTAATGAGTTGATTTCTAACCCACAAATTTTTATGATTTATTTTAGATTACAAGTTTCAAAAGTCTTTCTTTATTTCATAAACTCCATGTCCAGTCAAACACTTTCATATATATTAGGACGGAGAGAGTATAATTTATGTAAGAAAAATAAATGATAAGCTAGATTATTTGATATAGTTACGTGACTAACTAATGAATAGAGAAATATAATTCAGTAAAAACATAAAATAAGATTGACTATAGAGAAATAGTAATTTTGAGGCCCTTAAATTTTTGGGGCCTAAAGCAACTTCACTTGCTTTAGGGTCTGGCCACCCCTGAGAAATGAGCAGTACATACCACTCCACCGTAACCTTGATGGTTATAAAAAACTGAAATCAAAATGGTGGGGTTTAATTAAAACTATAGCATAAGGACGTTCATTTTTTTTATAAGGATGTTATTCTATCTAAAAAAGAAAAAATTCAAATTCAATTGTTTTATTTTAGTTTTGCACGATAATTTGAGCAGTTATTAAATTATCTTTCAAATATTAAGAACATTTCTAGAGACTCAACGATCAAGAAAAGAAGAAAACTATTGGATGTAAAAATTTGTATAATATTAAAATATCATGCTAAAAATATCAGTTCCTTGAAAGATGTTCAAGAAGATACTAAAAATATCAGTCCCTTGAAATTAGATATTCAAGAAAATGCTAAAAATATCAGTCCCTTGAAAAATAATATTCCATATCTTCTTAAGACGATTAATACTTCTTTGTATTGGTATTTTATTTTAATAATGTAATAGAGTGTGTCGTTTTACAAATGGAAAAATGTTGGTGGATGATTAATTTCCATTCAAAGATCATGTATTATAACTGATGATTTGAATTCTTGAAAATTTCCACCACATCCAAAACCATCATCCTGCTTTTATAAAATAATAATCATATTTTCTCTTATCTTTATGTACACGTGTGGATTTATATATTGTGGTTTTTTGTCGGCAGGGGGTGGGGTAGATTATGTGAAGTGGAAGCAAATATATATCATAATAATATTAGACTTGGTTACAAAACAAACTTTCCATTTTAATTTCATGCACTTATAGAGTTGTATCAAAGATATACCAATATTCATAGAGTATATACATATTTTAGTACCCCTTCAACTTTTAATCATTAACTTACTAGTGAAGAAATATACATAGAGGAAAAAGACAAGATATGGAGTCAAAGACAAGAAGACCATCTATCCTTTTCCAAACCGTTTTTACCTAGACTTATCAACCAACACCACCCTACCCCTCCTCCGCACACACACTAAAGTAATTTTAACGGATTTATCTGAACCCAATATTTTTCTATACTGAGCATACAATATATATTTAATAAATAACAAAAAATTTCAATAGGTATTAAAGTTCTAATATCATAATTGTAAAATATGCAAATGAATTCAATAATAAATACGTTACGTAATATAAATATTAAATTCGTCAAATTAAAATATTGAATCCGCGTCTTATCTCCCACCCCTATGTTTTATCCCTTATACCCTGTCATTTCTTGATTCCCCATTTCTAAGCAAAACCCCACAACCATCAATATCATCATGATTATGATTTTCATTCCATGGAAGTTTCACTCTCTCTCTCTCTCTAATTTCTTTTTTTCTTTTTCTTTTTTAAAAAAAAAAAAAGTTTTTGAGGATGATGATGCTCATCAATATAAAGTTGTGACTTCTTTTTACATCAAAACAGTTGGGGAGACAGGAAAAAGAGTCTCTGAACACAAAACAAAGAATCCATACAATGAGGAAGCCTGAGTTCTCTTCTTCCTCCTCAGGCAAGAACGGGACGAACAGTAACAACAACAACAACAACAACGCGAACGTGAAGTTGAGGAAAGGGTTATGGTCACCAGAGGAAGATGAGAAGCTGATGCATTATATGTTGACAAATGGACAAGGGTGTTGGAGTGATGTAGCAAGAAATGCAGGATTACAAAGGTGTGGGAAGAGTTGTAGGCTAAGGTGGATTAATTATTTGAGGCCTGATCTTAAAAGAGGTGCTTTTTCACCTCAAGAAGAAGAACTTATTATCCATTTACATTCCCTTCTTGGGAACAGGTATATCTCTCTCTTTCTGTTCTTTTTCTCTTTTTTTTTTTCTCTCTCAATGTGTTCATGTGATTTATTGGTGCATGAAGGTCACTAGTATTTTGGACGAGTTTAACTTTTATACATTTTATAAGTGTCAAACAAATTTTTATACTATTAACCAAACAAATTTTTATCTTTACCGATGTTTACTGTGATTACCTGAGCTGTGAGTTTTCGGAAACAACCTGTATATACTTATCCAAGCAGTGGCGGAGCCAAAATTTTGCGTCAAAATATATAAAAGTAAACATACCAAGAAATTAAGAGGAGTCATACATAGTATATTTACATATAATTTATTTTTTTACCTAGCTACACAGTATATTTTTCTCACGAAGACGCTCCCTATAAGGTGGCTCCGCCACTGTACACAAGGTAAGGGTAAGGTCTAGGTACACATTACTCTACCTAGAACTCAGTTGTAGAAATATATACCGGGTATGTTATTGTTATAAACCACCTAAAAGATATAAGAACTATAGTTAGTCATCCATAATCAGCGAGATTAGTAAACTAAATAATAAGGTAAGTTATCTGATACTACAAGTCAAAATTTACTGAAAGGAGTAGTAAAAATTTTTCGTAATGTCAGTGAATATAAGTAGTAAAACTTTTTCTCAAGACAACTTTGATAATTTCATCAATCTGCTAAGCAAGAAAGATTATTAACTTATGCATGAGAATGCATCAATTTTTACCTGTATGAATACGAGGGAAACTGCAGTCGTTTTCTCAGAAGTTTTGACACGAGAAAACATACAGGGAATTTAGGATAAATATTTAGATTAAGTTTCCCTATTCGTTCTTTTCAGTTTACTTCTTTTGTTAGTGTGTGTGCGTGTGTGGCGTGAGGCGGTTGGATAATTAAGGGAGAATAATTCTTAAGGTTTATTTTTTATTTTATTTTAGGAAGAAAACCTGAATACATGGTAATTAAGGACCATTAATCAAACTCCAATTTTCTTAGTGTTATTTTTCAGTACCTAGCGGGATCCCTAATTTTCTAAATAAAATAAAGGCATTATAACCACACACATAATTAATTTGCAGCATACACATAATAATGTTCTTTGAATTCGATTATACATAAAATATTATCACAATTTTGAAAATTTTAGAATATAAATATAAATGTATTTTGAGTGAATAAGATTGAAGATTAATGTCCACGTCTTTTGAAAACTACTAGTCTGCATGACGATATTTCTATAAATAAAAAAAAAGGTGAATAAGGAACAAAATTCCTACTATACAAATACTATTAACGCATAAAGAATTATTTTTCCCAATAGTTTAATATCTAAACATTGATAATTAAAAAGTTATGTCATCTAAATGATAACTATATGAAACCGTTCATAATAAGTGAAAATAATAACAAAAAAAGTATAATGTAATTAATTTATTAGGACAAGTTAACATACACTCATAACATTAAAATCATTACAGCAGTGTTAGTATATATAAATTAGGTAATTATTCTCCACCCCATCTCACCACTAGGGTTTGGCGGGGTGGTTGGTAGGAAGAAGGAAACTATATATATATATATATGAATCTTAGTAATATTAAGGGGACAACACAGTGAATTCCAGGTAATCTTCATTGGCAACATGATAAAGCTAATCATGATGTTATTGACTTCAACAGCTTAATAATATGATTTATAGACATGCATATCTTTAGCTATACGTTTTCAATGAGTTAACATCCACCAAATTATTCTGCGCGCCTAATTTAATTTCTTTGTAATTAAACACACAATTAGGTCTACCACTGGACAATCCCTAATGTTTTCTAGAATTGCATTAGCATCCCCTAAATTAAAGTCTGATAATCTCCATCTGTTTAAGGTTTGTAGTTTTGGTTACTTGCTTACAATTAATGGAGTTCACATTCTTTTCAAGAATTTGGTGTTACTTAACGAATGAATCTTTCTCTTTATTTTTCTGATATATATATATATATATATATTGAGATTTTGTCTAATTGGAAGAGGAAAGAAGCAAAGAAGAAAATAGACATCTCGCCAACTGGTCATTTAATAGGAGGTATTTTATTTATTATAAAATTTTGTGGATTTAAATAAGGAAAGATAGGTAATATCATAGGTTTCTTAATTTATATGTTATACTGTATGATTAGAAGTTAATTGGTGATTATAGAAGTTGATAGCATATCTATTTAATTTTTTAGCTAGCAAATCTGGCGGAGGGGAAGTAGTTTTTTTTTATAAGTAAAATCCTAAATCCTAATAATATTAACAAACAAGAAATATAATTATAAAACATGCATGTGCGCTGTTCTCATTTAGGTTGTTTCACATAATTAAGCACTTAGTTCTTCTTAGTCAAAAGGGCAAATTAAAGATGGATTTTAATAAATATTGATCAAGTGTTTTAGCATCTTGGACTTAGAGTTAGAATTTGTTCCACTTGTTACAATCTTCTTTTTAAGAATAACATTTCCAAACAAATAATAAAATTAAACTACGTACATGTATGTCTCACTTTCACTTTTACACAATTTGACCTATATGTTGACTCCTATTTCCTTTTTTCTATTTCAAAGGTGGTCACAAATAGCTGGACGTTTGCCAGGACGTACTGATAATGAAATCAAGAATTTCTGGAATTCGACATTGAAAAAGAGGCTAAAGAATTCATCTTCTTCTTCTACACCATCACCAAATGCAAGTGATTCATCCTCAGAACCCTGCAAAGATCTCAACATGGGAATCAATCAAGGGTTCATGTCAATGGAAAAACATAACCTAATGGCCATGTACATGGACTCAACGTCGTCTTCTTCCTCATCGATGGCCCTAAACACCATTATCGATCCTTTGCCAACGCTCGAGCACAGTCTAATGAACATGCCTAGTAGATTTGGTGCACCTTCATACTTGACTACACAACCATGCATGGTACAAGGAGGGAATGTGACTAATGGAAGTCTTTTTTATGGGAATAATCATGGGATATTTGGAGGAAATCTTGGAATTGAAGGAGAGATCTATGTTCCACCATTGGAGAGTGTAAGTATTGAGTATCAAAATGTTGAAGGTGGGAATTTAGTTGAAAGGAGCAGCCAAAACAGTAACCCTAATAATAACAATATGACCAACTTGACTAGCCATTTCAATAGTAGTAGTAATATCAAAGTAGAGAATTTTGGAGGGATAGGGAATTATTGGGAAGGAGATGATCTAAAAGTGGGAGAGTGGGACTTGGAGGAATTGATGAAAGATGTTTCACCTTTCCCTTTTCTTGATTTCCAAGTTGAATAATCCTAGAACAACCTTAATTTTCCTATGGATATCAAGACCTTTTATTTTTCTTTCAATATTAGACCACATAATTTCAATCCTATATAGTTCATATAAAACCTCATATATTGAGATAAATTTGGACAGGAAATTGAAGATGAGAGGGTAAAGAATCTCATGAGAATAAGGATCATTTCCTGGTAGATATATACTTTTATTTCCTGCAATGCACCTAACTCTTTGTATAGGATATTTTGCATTACCTTATACTTTAAATGATGTAATTAGAAATAGGGTAATTTGGTCATTTTTACTTCAATTTGATGTTTGTAATAATCACCATGTACTTTTGAAGGAATATATGTATAGTCACATATGAATATTGTAGAGATTAGTGATATTGTCTATTAGTCTTTCGTGTACAAAACTTTTTGAAATGTAAGCAATTATGTTTTTTATTAGTGGATTGAACAAGCTATCTTATGGATAAATAATTAGATCGCCTTTTATTCGTGCTTAAAAAATAATCTTATTCATCTGCTTCTTTTAATGGACATTCTTAGCCGTCCTCGTGTATGATATGTATTTTCTATCTATGTGTGCGCTTGCATGTTTTGCGTAGTATTGTGAAAAATCAACGATTATGGATATTAATCAAGGATTATGGATATGACACGCAAGTAAAATTTTCCTTTAATGGGGTTTAATCTCGAAGGTGATAAGTCCACTTGGAATACGAACTTTCCACATAAAAGAATGCAAAGTCAGCTTGCGCTAATTGTCATTAGGACTTTGCAGTCATAACATTAATTACTACTTAACCTTAATGGTAGAATTCAAAGAACAATGATAGCTTTTTTCCTTTTCACTGTCACTCCTAAAGGTAGCAACACAGTCATTTTCAATAGGGAAGTTAATCAGTTCAAAATGAAATTATGGCTAGGGTAATAAAGAAACATAGCACAATAAGTTAGGGGTGAGCAGAATATCAAAAAAATCGAATTTCGAATATAGGACCGAATTAATTTGATATTTCAGTATAAGTTTTTTCGATATTTCGATATAAATTTTTTAGTATTTTAATATTTTAATACGATATTCGGTATTGAGTGCTCGATATTTCAGTATACCAATATACCGAAATATTTCCTACAGTCCTAGTGTCCTACACTGAGAAACGGAAATCTCATGAGCTTTTACCCTTTCGCTGCCCTATAATGCATTCTCTTTGATCATCAAAGAATATGTCTAAAAGTTTGGACATGTTTTTCTGTGAATCATAGATGAATCTAGTGAATCCTTTCATCTAGGAGCTTCTTGTTGCTGCGTAATATTATAGAGTTTGGTATGTGGTTACCCTCAAAATCGGATAACAATTGAATTTGTATATAGTTTTAAGGACATGTGATTTAATTTGATACAGAGTAAAAAATCAGAGTAATTATGGGAATAATAGATAAAAAATAAATACAAACCACACAAGTTTAGCAATCCTAGCCTTGGGAGATTAATCTCCCTCGAGTTAGAACTAATATTATCGATGCCGGAGTAAAATGAACTGTGCCAAAGCTAGAGATAACAGTATATTGCTTTTTTGATATGTGTTACAATGTGTTTAATGAATTGTCAAGTCCCCTTTATATATTGAGGGAGACCTACCCTTTGGGGTATTATTTTATTGTACTATAAAAAACATAAGTCCTTGATTTTGAAGACCGTTGGTTCCCTTTTTGGCTAATTCCGTAATTTCTACCAAAAAGATTGGTAAATGGCAAGAATCACGGACACCTGTCGGATGAGTTGGCAGAGCTTTCTTCGAGACCGTCAGAAACAGGACCGGTTACGCCTTCGGTAGACTCGAGGGAAAATCTGATAATCTCGATGGCTTAGTTTTGATGATGCTTTGGGTCCAATCTTGAATATTATATTCCGCCATTGGTTGACCATGTTGGATGTGAGATCGAACCTCGGACTTATATTTTTACCCAATTACAGATGTACCGACCTTGGCCCTCCATTTCACAAGCTCGATCGAACACCGAGCTCGGTTTTACCCGTACACAATACAATTATAAAAGGTAAAAATCTCATAATTTGCTAATTAATCGGCCTCTCCTTGATACGTGCCGAGATTTCTGCCGTGATATTCAACCGATTGCGAATTTTTGGCCTTCCGTTATTCGGCCCGATAAAGTTTTCTCAATCTTGTTCGGTCCCGGAGTCACGAGCTCGATGATTTGACTTCACGCCTTGGTTCGATATAATCTGGGGTCGAGCTTCAACCTGTCACGTTTCATGACTTGTCATACAATAGATGAGCCCGGTTTCGACCGTATACAATATGTTATCGAAATCGTAGCGAAACTATACTGAACCAAATAAGAAAATATCGAACAGTACCGAACTACTATGGTACGGTATTTGGTACGCACAATTAATATACTGAATACCAAAGTATCGAACTGTAATTATTAAATACCGTACTGAAGTACCGAACGCCCGTCACTACAATAAGTAACAGAAATTGAGATTATCTTTTATCTGGTGCTAGATATCAATGAAAAGGTTATAATAAAATTGGGAATAATTTTAATATTTGAACAAGTGAAATGATAGAGACAAAGGTTCAAATTCTAGAGAAAACTTATGAAGTGATTTCTTTTTATGATCTGTCTTAACCTATAGGGCTCGTTTGGTTACCGGGATTAGAATACTAATCCCTAAATAGAATGTGAGATTATATTTATTTTATGTTTGGTTATGGATATTAGTTAATACCGTTATAAATTTTATACCAAAAGATCTTGGTATTAACTAGTATCTTATATTGGAGGTGGGATAATAATCCCAGGACCGTTATTCCTGGATATTCCACCTTGGAACCAAACGATCCTTTAGTGCGAATACATTTCGAAAAATAATATTGTATAGCCGATGTAAAAATGATAGCCAAAAAATGTATAAAATTTATAATTATTCATATTCATATATATATTTACTGTTACCAAATATATAGTTTCGATCACAGACTAAAAGTAATATTTGCCCATTACATTTTCAGTCATGTATCCATTTCCATGCCTGTTGGGTTTGCAGGTGAGAGGTGTCTTTACAAGAAAAAGCTCTAAGATAGATATTCTTTTGTCGATTTAGGTTAGGAGGCAAATTAAAGTGATTTCTGTATAGTTAAAAGGTAATTAGCTACAGAATGAAAGTAAGTGCTTCCCTAAATCATTTCACCTCAAGATTTATGACATTCCATAACTAACTGATCTGACTTTAATATAGGTATTTGTCTGGAAGGTTTCTGAATATCTTTTTGACACGATTGTTTGATTACGTAAATTATGCATTGGCATGAGGTCAGCTTTTGGGCACAATTAGAAAGGGAGGATATGTTTTTTCTTTAAAAAAATTGTTTAACTTCTTTAAATAGTATAATTTTTTTTGTATATGATCGATATCACTTATAAGTTAATTAGGAATAATTATCCATAATAAATGAAATTACTCTAACAAAACAATAAGGCAAAACTGTGCTACAACAAATTAAAGTACCCTAATTGTATAAGAGTATTTTATTTTTAATGTGTATAAGTTAAAAACGAGAGAAGGAAGAGAGGGTAGTCATGAATTCGATCTTTTTTAAGATTGGAATGTAAAAAAGATCGGAATGTGATTCTAATTATTTTTCCTCCATTTATATTTTACAGTATGTTTTATAGTTTATTTTATTAAATAACCGTAATAACAAATTAGGGAACTAATGAGGTTAGTCACACTGATATACACTTTTATAGCATGTTTGACCAAGTTTCTCGCCAAGGCAAAAGTATTTTTTTTTCTTTCAAAAAAGTGCTTCTTTTTTTTTTCTTCTCAATTTGAGATGTTTGGCTAGAGCCGTCAACATGGGATTAGCCTGTTGGGCCGGGCCAGCCCAGTCTAGCCTATGATTTAGTAGGGTTGGGCTAGAATTTTTGGAGCCCATTTAAAAATGAGACTTTTAAGCCCGACACGAGTAAGCATGCAACCCGTAAGGCTTGACTGAGGCTGGGTTGGGCCGGCCCGTGGGCCTAATAATTAAAAATATTTATTTAAAATATATAAAATATAAAAAGTATATGACATTGTAGCATACTAGCATCAGAATCAACATTTAGCATTGGTGGGCGTGTCCATACCAGGTACAGGAGATGCATCCATCATGAAAATGTCCAAACACTTGTTACTACTCGAAATTAGTTACACGACTTTTTTCAAAATCAAACTGGTAATTTTTTTTTGTGAATTTGAATATTATTAGTTTTAAAAATTTAATTATTCTTAATATTTAACTAATTAATATTGCATATGAATTGTGGATGTAGATGAGATTGGATATGTTAAGACAACCTTATCACAAACGGATTTAAATGTGTTTGATGAAGATGATGTGTTGGATTTCCTATAAGCATCATAGACGTTCTCTTGAATAGTTTGTTTTGAGTCTTGTCTTTTACCTTTTTAGTGTTTATTGTGATATATTAGAACAGTGTAAAAAATTATTAAGTTTTGCGAATTTTTCCCAATAAGATATTTTTTTACTTTTAAACATTTATCTTTTTTTAGGTTAGTACTTAAAAAAATATAAAATTATAATTTTAAAATGATGGGTCGATCCGTGGGAGTCCGCGGCCCACATAGGGCTTGGGTGGGCTAGCCATTATAAGGCCCATCATGATTGTGGGCTAGCCTAGCCTAGCCCGTCAATTGCTAAAGCCCAGGTGGGCTGGGTGGGTTAACCCGACCCGACCCATATTGACAACTCTATGTTTAGCCAAGTTTTTTCGAAAAAAAAAAATACTTCTGGCTAGAAGAAGCAGTTTTTAAGAAGCAGAAACAGAAGCAGTTTTGACTTTTCTTCCTACCAAAAATACCCTTATCAAAATATTATATATACCAAAAGAACCTTACTTAATTTAAACTATTAAGTAATATATAATGATTTTTGGGATGAACTTTCGTATTTATTGAATAATTTTTGATATATTTAAATTATCTTGAAAGAATAAAGTGCTTTTCAATTCTATTTTTATATTTTATTTAAATAATATAAAAAAAATAATAATTATCTTTAATAATAAATATTCGTAATTATTTATCTACTTATACAACATTAACTATTAAGAAAATCTCTTCAGGTCCTTATTCGTAATTTGACACTTAAAAAATATTTTTTAAAAAATTTGGCCAAACACAAATTGTAGTTCAAAAGTGTTTTTTATATGATTAGCCAAATACAAGCACTTCTCAAAATAAACTAATTTTTTTCAGGCCAAACAAGCTATTAGCATGGTAAAAACTTACTCGCCCAGAATAGGCGCCTGCATTTTTGTTTCTTCCACCTATTTCCTTCTAGGTTTTTAGGTTTAAGATTGGCATATAGATTAAAAAACATACAAGGCAAAGTAAACTTCACTTC